GTTTCTTCCAGGGACTTGCAACTCCAAAAACACACGCTGGAGTGGAACCAGAAACAATCGCAGAAAGGAAACCTAGACCCTTGGAAGGGAGCGAGGCCTTCTTAGTTCTCAGAAGTCAGTCCTTATCAAATAAATAAATAAATAAATAAATAAATAAATAAATAAATAAATAAATAAATAAATAATCTAGGCCAACACAGGTCCTCAACAAGCATCTACAATCTACATCCTCTTCCTCCACTGTCTAGTTTACAGATAGGAAAAATAGTCTGAAATGTTAGGAACAGCTTCTGCCATTCTAAACAGAACAGAAAGACCTGGGGAAGCCCCTGTTGCTGCCAGTCCACCTCCCATCCCCCACTCCCCAGGCAGCTGCACTTTTCCATAGGCCAGGGCTCCCCAACTGTAGGTCTGCAGATCCACAGGTACATTTTGAAATCTTTGGTGACTTCCTAGCAAGTGGCCTCTACCGCTGCCTTTCTCTTTTGCTGGATTTCCCACACGCAGGGAAGCTCAGCTGACACCCCAATGTCAGCTTCATCTCTGGGGCTTGCAAAGGCCTGTCCATGCTCAGGCCCACAACCACACAGCCACACCCACAGGGTCTCACTGCCTGCTTGGCTCTCAGAGATGAAAATGCAGCCTTCAAAACCAAACAAGAACCACAGGAGCCTTGCTGAAGTGATTTCCTTTCATGCGTCTCGGCCCCACTGCCTGTGTAGAGGTCAGCCTGGGCTAACCACCGTGAATCCGTTCTCATTGCCGTTTCTGGAAGAGTCCTGGGCACAAGCCATAAAGAAAAATCTAGCGAGGGGCATTTGTCTGCCCTTGTCTCTCCAGTCCACTCCGTCCCCCTCTGAGGAGGTGGCAGTTCTTTGTCCCTTGGTCTCTGACATACCTTCCTAAAACTGTTCCCTGAAGAGAACCCCTGAAGCCTAGGATGGAGCATCTTTTAAAAAGACAACTAACAGTGAGGCAATGGCAGCTATTCTAGGCAGGCTTCCTTCTTGTGTCTGGGGCCCTGGGAGGAGCCACCCAAGTTCTCCTCAAGAGAAATGAGCTGGGGGCTCAGGAGGCGCCATCTGAGGTGCCCTAGCACTATGAATCCCGCCCTTCTGCACAGCCTTCCGATGGCCAGATTCCTTCTCATATTCAACAGTGGTTGCATGTATCCACACGAGGTATGCTTTAAATGTCCTTTCTAAGAAAGCAAAGGGAACATTCTGTGCAATTATATTTATATACAGTTCTGCAAATGCAAACAGATGCATAGTAATGTATGGAAAGGTATGGGAAACAGATCAGTGGAGGAAGAGGGCAGGGAGAGGAATTTCAGAGGGACTTTAAGATGTGTGATAGGCACATGTTCATGATCTTCATTTGGTGATAGCTTCATAGATGTGTGTGCATATTCACTAGAATATTTTAAATATTTGCAGCTTCCTAATATATATATATTAAAATATACAATTGTATCAATAGAAATAGCAGGTTTAATAGGCAGCAAAGCTAAGAAAAACAACAATGCCAGATAGTGAATTTCTTACACACTGTTTTTTGAGGCGGGAGCTGCTGAGCACAGATACCATGCTGTGTGTGCTTCTCAGTATGTTTTACTGATATTTCAAGACCGCTATTAAATATACAGTCATGAGCAGGGCATGGTAGCTCACACCTCTATTCTCAGCACTCAGGAGGCAGAGGCAGGCAGATTTCTGAGATGAGTCCAGCCTGGTCTACATAGCAAGTTTGCAGGCCAGCTGGGGTTTCAGGGAGACCCTGTCTCAAAAAGGCAATAAGGTATATGTGTTCTAGTTTGTTTCTCCATTGCTGTGACAAAACACTCTGAACAATACCAACTTGGAGAGGACAGGGTTTATTTGAGTTACATCTCCCAGGTCACAGTTCATCACTGAGGGAGCCCAAGGTAGGAACTTGGGGTAGGAACCTGGAGTCAGGAGCTGAAACACAGGCCATGAACTAACGCTGTTTACTAGCTTGCTCCCCTGACCCATGCTCAGCCTACTTTCTTATACAACACAAGCCTACCTGCCCAGGGGTGGCAGTGTGTGTGAGTGTGTGTGTGTGTGTGTGTGTGTGTGTGTGTGTGTGTGTGTGTGTGTGTTTATATATGTTGTCCTTTCTAGAAAGAATCAGTGTAGTAGAAATTTCCCTTTTTCATTCAAGTTACGACATTTCTCTTTAACTTTATGAACAGAATTAAGTTTTCAGTCCAGGGTAAGCAACTGGGTGATTGTAGTTTATTTTTCAGGTTGTGAAACAAAACCTTTGGATACCTAAGAACTTTGCCTTGTTCCACCCCTTTTGTGAGTCTAGGAGGTGCCCAGGCCCTCTTGGCTCTAAAGTCCTACCTTTCACCATCTATCCAAAGTCTCTGAAGCTATGGATCACCCCCTGAGACCGGAAATACCACCACCCAAGTGTCCATGTCTCAGGCTCTTGTGTGTCTTTGTATTGCTGACTGGTCTTTTCCACATCCCTTCAGGTAAGGAACTTTCAGGAACTTGACTTAATTTCCACTTAAGATCTCTGGGGTTGTAAAGAAGGTGGTGCGGTTCTCTGTGCAGTCTGCCTCTGCCTTACTTCTAGAGGCAGAAGAGGCATTCATGGTGTTCTCAGAAAAATTTAGGCCTAAGAAAGTTCTAGTTCAAAAAGGCTAGAGCTCCAACATAGGGTCACACAGCAAGTTGGCACCCGGTTTAAACCAAAAACCCAGGTAGAGGAGGGGACAGTGTTATTTTAGCAAACCATAAAGCCAAAGCACAGTTTAGAGCTGTAGCCTCCTCTGTGAATATTAGATGTTCATTTACATCTTGCTACATGCCTAGGGTATTAGCCTGGGAGTCTGGTTATCTAAGTATATTTCTATGATACCATTTAATTGATGTGGTTTGCCTCTTTTAAAAAATATTTTATTTATTATTTTTATTTTGTGTATGAGTGTATTGCCTGCATGTGTGTAAGTGCATCCATGTCATGCAATGCCTGCAGGTGGTCAGAAAATGACATCAGGTCCCCTGGGACTGGAGCTACAGATGGCTGTTAACCACCATGTGGGTGCTAGGAATTGAACTTGGGTCCTCTACAAGAGCAATTATTGTTCTTAACCACTGAGCCATCTCCCCAGCTCCGCAGTTTGCCTTTTAAGACTGAACAATGACCATCTTTTCTAACTGACAGCAGTGAAGGTAACTAAGAAGTAAAATCCTTTTAATGTGAAATCTTTCTAATATTTCCTCTTAAGCCTTGTGTTCTGACAACTTTTGTCAACACTGGCATCTGCCATTAAGACTAAGCACAAAATTATATTTTTAGTTATTTCTGACTGTGTATTTTATATGTGTTCTGGAAAGAGTATTTTGACTTTTAGATGCTTCTGTTTCAATGTAGGTAGTCTTAATGGAGCTGAACTTGTGACACTATCAAGAAGATTGGGGTTTTGTGCAGCATATGGTGGTGTACATCTGTAATCCTAGTACTTGGGAGTTGGAGGCTGGTGATTTTGAGGCCAGCCTAGGCTAGAAAGCTAGACTCTGTCTCTGTGAGTTCAAAGCCAGTCTGACATACAAATAAGTTCCAGGATAGCCAGGGATACATAGTAAGACCTTGTCTCATAACAAATAAATAAAATAAGTGATGGGGGCTTGAGATGGCTCAGTGACTAAGAGCACATACTGCTCTTGGAGAAGGTCCAAGTTCAGTTCCCAACACCCATGCTAGGTGGCTGACAACTGCTGTAATTCCAGCTCCACAAGGATCCAATTCTGACCTCTGCCAGGACCTCTACTCTTGTGTGTGTATCCCTCCAAAAAACCCCACATAACAACAACAGCAACAAAAAAAAAAATAGAGGCTGGAGAGATGGCTCAGTGGTTAAATGCACTGACTGCTCTTGCAGAGGACCTGGGTTCTATTCCCAGCACTCACATGGCAGGTAACAACCATTCGTAACTCCAGGTCCAGGGAATCCGATGCCCTCTTCTGACCTCTTCAGGCATTGCACAACATGGGTGCACTTACACACATGCAAGCTTTACGTTCATACACATAAACAATTAAATAAAGCATTTTATAAGAAAAACTAAACTAAACCTGTGTGGAAAAGAAACTCATAAAAAGTTACAAACTCTATCAGTCAAGAGCATACTGGAAAGTTAGCAGATACACCGAGTCAGAGAATTTGTACCAGAAGAAGTGGGAATAACTGAGTGCTTTGTAAGAGAGACAGGGGAACATGTTTATATATTTAAAGGGATTCCTGAGGAGTGCTTATAAGATTTAAAAAGTAGAAGCCCAGGCTGGGGAGATGGCTCAGTTGGTAAAGTCCTTGCCACACAGCGTGAAGATCTGAGCTTGATTCTCAGAACACATGCCAAAAAGGAAAAAAATAAAAATAATAAATAAAATATTTTTTAAAATAAAAATAAATTAAAAAAATAAATGACAGTAAAAATAAAACCAGAGGAAAAACAATGAAAAATGCAAAGTGAAACAAAAGATATAGCATGGGACTCGCCTGGTGGCAGGACAGTTCTGGATTTTTCTTTCATTTTGACATCTCTGTGTTTGAGTGACAATGTCTCATATATCCCAGGTTTGTGGCAAAAAACTGACTCTGAGCACCTAATCCTCCTGCCTACACTCAAATACAAGACAGGCCCAGTCTGTGGGAATCCTTTGTACTTGTCCACCCTGTTCTGCTAGAAATCTAAAACTGCTCTGAAAAAGTAAAGAACTTTAAAAATATTTTATTTTATGTTTTGGTTTTTGGAGGCAGGGTCTCATTCTGTAGCCCAGGCTGGCCTGGAACTCACTATGTAGTACAGGCTTGCCATAAACTCATGAAGATCCTCAGGCACCCAAGTGTTAGGATTAGAGGTATGAGCAATCATTCCTGGCTTAAAATTTTACTTTAAATGCTGTTTCTGCTTGGTGTGTCTGAAATAGGATCTGAGACCCCACATTTCTAATAAGCATCCATGTGATGCTGAGACTGGGGGACCACCCATACAGCTCCACTTAGAGCAGTCAGTCTTGTAGATGACATTAAAAAAACAAAACCAGGACATGTGGAGCCAAACAAGGAAGGACAGGCCTATAATCCCAGCTACTTTGAAGACTGAGGTAAGGAGGATCAAAAATTCAGGGCCTCTATCTGGGCACATACATTTAATCCCAGCACTTGAGAAACAGATGTGGGTAGATCTCTGAGAGTTCTCTACATAGAGAATTCCAGGCTAGCTGGAGTTACCGGGAGACCCTGTCTTGGGAAATTTTTAAAAAATTCAAGGGCTCTTTAGGCTATAAAGTGAATTCAAGGCCAGCCTGGACAACCTAATGAGACTCTGTCTTAAAATAAAAAGCACAGATGAAGGACTGTAGCCCATTGATGGAGTGCTTGCCTAGCATGCACAAGGCCCTAGGCTAAGTCTCTAGCATGATATAAACTGAGTAAGGTGGCATGTGCCTGTAATCTCAGCACTTTGGAGGTAGAGACAGGAAAATCAGAAGCTCAGAGTCATTCTCAGCTACATAGTGAGTTTGAGGCCAGCCTGGGATCATGAAAAAAATCATTCAGAGGGCTGGAGATATAGCTCAGAGGCAGAGTGCTTGTCTAGCATACATGAGGCCCTGAGTTCAACCCCTAGTACCAAAACAAGCAAAAACAAAGTCTTTGAGTTGCTGGAACCTAGGAAAGGTTTGTAGAGCAGTCACAGTAATTATATGAAACCTATCAGGAGGCTCTTTCAGTAGCCGAAGGTACAAATGATGTGATGGGCTCGATGTAAAGAATGTGGTCAGAGGGAAGTGGATAGACCAAGATAGGCACAGTGAGGACTTGCCAGACTGCAGTGTGGATGTGAGTGGTCTGTGGGGATGAGAGAGTACAGTAGAGTAAGATTATGGAGGGCTAAGGGCCAGGGATGTGCCACTCAGGGACCTCCCTGATGTGCCCTGGGTCGGGAAGCCACACCCTGGAAGGCATCCTCCCTATATGCAATTCTGGGAAAGGTGCTGTGGAAGAAATGAAGAGAAAAGTTCCATTTGTAATGTCTCTTTCCTTTTTCCTTTTTTTTTGGGGGGGGACAGGGTCTTGTTTTTTGAAGAGTACAGCACTAAGACTATGAAATCAGACAAAAAGACCCTTGCTAAAGATGAGACCTGAGACAAGATGGCAGAACATCATGCCTGTCCTACTCCATTACAGATGGGTATGACAGGCACTCAGGTGTTTTGCTATTCTGCACATGTCTAGCATGTTCCAAGTACTGCTTCAGGCTTATAAATAAATTTTGAAGCTGTGTGTGATTGTACAGTCCTGTAATCCTGGCACTGAAAAGGCTAAAACAGAAGGATTTCCAGGAATTTGAGGCCAGCAAGGGTCAAACAGCAACCCCAAAGTAAAGCTGAAGGAGAGTGCCCCTCAGACCCCCTCCCTATCCTCTGAGAAAGAGCTGCCCTCCACCTGACTCTGGAAATCCCCTCCATTGTTCAAATCCTTTCCTGGTACATCTGTTCATGGTTTCTATGGGAATGGTCTGGGGCAAAAGAGGAAAAACGTTCTGCCCCAGGTAAGCTAGCCAATGGCTGTGTAGATTAAGTCTCTGGAAAGCAGCCCTAGAGTGTTCCAATCCTTTCCTGGTTATTCTGTGTATGGTTTCTATAGACATCCCCTGCTTTGTGGTTTTTATGCTTAAAAGCCCTGTGTTTTCAGGGCTCAGGGTTGCAGTACAGCTCCTGAGACTGTGTCCCCAACTGGTTGGCTCCAATAAAGCACTCCTTTTTACTGAGACTCAGTGTATGAGTGGTCAATTTAAGGAATTTTACAGACCCAGAACTAAGCATAAATAAAATTTGGAGATTAGGCCAATTCACAAATATGGAATCCATGGCTAGAAGGGCTTTGTTATATTACCTATTTAAAATTTGGCCCTTGGGTCTGGAGAGATGGCACAGCAGTTAAGAGCACTGGCTGTTTCTGCAGAAGACCTGGGTTCAAACCCCAGCACCCACATGGTGTCTAACAACCGTCAGTGACTCCAGTTCCAGGAGATCAGATGCCCTCTTCTGTCCTCTGTGGGCATTGCACAACACAGGTGCACTTTCATACATGCACACAATACACTTATACACATAAAATAAAGAAAAAAATTTTAAATGGCCTTCTTTGAATTCTTGCTTTCTCTTATCTGTCTTCCTTATTCTTTCATGACTATAACTCTCTAGTCATAGCCTAGTCCTCCCGGCCCTGAGCTTCCTAAGCCTCTCAAAGTCTCAGGTACCACCTGCGTAAGTGCTGTAATTGGCATCTTGTAGGGCCATTAGGGAATTAAATGAAATTTCTCTTGTTCCTATTCACCAGAGTGATCACAGAGAAAGCAAAAAAGAAGGGTACAGGAGGCGGTGTACAAGTGATCTAACACAAGGCCTCCACACAGATGGGCACACAACTTGCCCTCCACTAACCCTGCAGTCTTGGTCAGAGCCAGTTTCTTTTTAGGGAAGCATTATATTAGATAAAGCAAATAAGAAGTGATGGGACTTAAACCAGGCATGGTGGGGCATGCTTTTTATCCTAGCACTCAAGAAGAAAAGGCAGGAGGATCAGGAGTTCAGGGTCACTGTTAGCCATGTAAGGAGTTCAAGGACAGCCTGGGATAGGATGGATGCCTGCCTGATTTGAGAGAGGGCTCATATTAATCTTAAATCTTGTGAGCCATTGGAAAATTCTCGAGCAAAGGGGATGGTTTGTATTGTAACATGTAGTCCATAAGTCTAATTTCAGACATGTATCTTGATTATTGCAGATATCATATTAATTTTAATTTAATTTTATTTAGCTTTCTAAACAATAGCTTTCAAATGCTTTAAAAAGCACTAGAAGTAAAACGTCTATGGAAAATAGTATAGAGGTTTCTCAAAAAGTTGAAAAGAAGAACTATTCTGTGATACAAGAATTCCACGATGAGAAAATATCCAAAAGAACTGAAACTCAGACCACAAAGAGACATTTTCACACATGTCAATAGCAATATTATTCCCAATGGTAGCCCACAGGTGAAAGCCACTCGGATGTCCATTGGCAGATGACGGGATTAACCAACATAGGATGTGTGTATCTCAGATATATTTGTTTTATGGGATTAACCAACATAGGATGTGTGTATCTCAGATATATTTGTTTGTGAGTAGTATTCATGATAATTATTGTCATATAATTTAAATTTCTTAAAATGGAAGGAAATTTTGTCATACTGTACATGATGAGCAAAACTTGAACACATTAAGTGAAATAGACCAATAACGAAACACAAAGATATCTAAAGTAGTAAAATTCAGAGAAACAGTTTCTAGGGGATGAGGGGAAAGGAAAGAGGGATTTGTTGTTTGATGGATACAGAGCGTCCTGTCACAAAATGAACAGTCCTGGAGCTGTCTTATCAAAAATGTGAATGTACTTAACCCCACTGCACATTTTTAAATAGTCAATATAATAAATTTTATGTATTTTTTCAACACTGAGGGTCAAACCCAGGGCCTTGCATATGATAAGCAAGTGCTGTGCCACTGAGCTGCATTCCCAGCCTTTGGAAGTTTAAGACAGGATCTCCCTATGTAGCACAAGCCGGTTTCAGACCTGCAACTCTGCTTCATCCTCCCAAGTGCTGAGAATATGGGTATGTACCATACATGTGGCTGTGTAGGGTTTCTTTAAAAAAAATGAATGATCCCCCCACAAATTTACACAATCAATATACAGTAATAAAAATAATTTTTAAAAAGTGTTGGGTCAAAAAAACTTCCTGCTAGACAAAACATGCTGAGTTTGGATGCAGCCTGCTCATGCAGGAATCTGTGTTCACTGAAGATAAAATCCTGTTCTGCTTGCCCTTCCTTAAGTCTTGGCCAAGTGTCCAAGTCAGTGAGAGAAATGGCATCACTGTCTTGTGGTTACAACATTTCTCTCGATGAACTGGACAGAGCTTGTGTCTACTGGCAAAAAGACGGCAAAATGGTGCTGGCTATCATATCTGGGATGGTGAAAGTGTGGCCGGAGTATAAGAACCGGACTTTCTCTGACATTGCTAACAACCTCTCTCTTGTGATCCTGGGCCTGCACCTGTCGGACGGGGGCACTTATACCTGTGTTGTTCAAAGGAGTGACAGAGGGCCTTACAGAGGGGAACACCTGAAGTCAGTGATGCTGTCAATCAGAGGTTGGTGGAATTTCTGATTTACTGATTCTTTTATTATTTTTTCTTTCTGAAAACAGGTTCCTCTGTACCCCCAGCTGGCCTGGAACTGGCTATGTAGACTAAGCAGGCATTAATCTCACAGAGCTCTGCCTGCCTCTGCTTCCCCAGTGCTGGATTAAAGGCAAGGGCCACCATGCCTGGCTGATTTACTGATTCTTAAAGTCCTTAAAGGCATAGGTCTAAAGCTGTAGGTGGAAATTTGACCGAAGAAGGATGTACCTCACTTCATTTCTGAAGGGTGAGTCTCCAGTTTTATAGAAAAATCTTAACTCCTCAAAGTGGAAATATCTATTAATATGCATTTCTTGTATTTTGAAAATCCGAATTGACAGTAACCATCGCAGGCCCTGGCATGACCTGAATGCCCTCTGCATCAGAGGAGCACAGCTTTGATCTGATGTAGCTGTGCTGTGAACTGCATCTGAGCCCACAATGCAGGCCTTTGAAACCCTGAAGGGAGGATAGAAGAGCCACGTGGCCCATCCTATCCACGAAGTACTTGAATGTCTGTGGCTACTGGACCATCAGGTTCTACTCTTTTCAAACAAATTTACTCATTAGTTATTGAAGCTCTCACTGTCATTCCTATCAAGTTGGATGCTAAACAACTGGATGCTTAAGTCAAGTCTGCCATAGAGAAGAAGAGAGGATCAACACCCTGATCACAGCCCCGCTGTGAAGGGCAAACACTTCTCATTCTGCCCTAATCACAGACCACAGTCCTGAAGGAAACACATGGAGCCAAAGTTTTTGTTGAGAAATTATAGTCCCAGGCCATTCCCTCACCTTGAAATTCAAACACATTTCTTTTCCTTTGTGGGCAGTTGAGGCTTTAGGGAAACAAAGCCTCATATGTAAGTAAAACATAATGATTAATCTTGATAACCTAGCATTTCAGCAGATGGCTGCTGGTAAATTCCTCACTGTTTTTCCTTGCTTCTACCATTGGCTCTGCCTCCTTTCCTGTGGCCACCAGACCACACCTAAAGCCGAGTGTAAAGCCAGAGTCACATAGAACTGTCTTATACCTTTTCTATGTATCCTATTCTTGTGGCTGAGCAAATAATTATATAGTGATGTGATCTGGGGGTACGAAGTTCACTTGTCCAAAATTCAGACCTCTACTGATTCCTGAACTTCTAGCCATTGTAGGCATTCTTGTAGTTGTTGGCACGTCCCTTCCCTTGGGTCCCTGTTGGAAATGAAACTATGACCTGAAGGAGGTGGCACCACAAACACTGTCACTTGTACTAGCTAATTACATTAACTCAGACTCTAGCAGAAGATCCAGAGAAAAGGCAGGTCAGGGCAGAAAGACCAAGAAGAGAATCCCTCCCTGAAGAGGACACCATGGGGGTGGGGGGTAGCTTTAGATTGCAGCAGGAGGCAAGGACAGCTAAATGAGATTTGCGAGGTCAAGGATGTGAGGACAAAACTGGGTAAGGGAACACACAAAGGGAAAACTAGCCTACCTTACTTACCTGAACCATTCTGAAGTTTCCAACTGAGTCCACTGAACCAGGCTTTCTGAAACATTTCATATCATGTGCCTATAAATAAATGGGAGCCTGTTAAAATGCAGTTTCAAACTCTGTAGGTTTAGGTTTTGGATATGACATTTTGCAGGACCAACAAGCTTCAAAGAGACAGCAGTGTTGCTGCTGTGAACTGCAGTTTGAGAAACTAGGGGTTAAATCAGTTCCCATTTAGCAGAGGCCCACTGTCCTATTCTGCCCCGGATGGAGCAGTTTCCTCAGAACACAAGATTTTAGTGAGAATGCTGAGGAGTCTCAGGTAAAGGAGGACAAGTGGGTACTCTACATTTTCTTTTTAAAAATATTTTATTTATTGGGACTGGAGAGACGGCCCAGCAGTTAAGAGCACTGACTGCTCTTGCAGAGGACCCAGGTTCAATTCCCAGCACCCATATGGTGGTTAAGAACTATCTGTAACTTCCAGAGGATCAGATGCCTTTTTCTGATATATGTGATCAGTGCATGACATGGTTTCACTAACACACATGCAGGTAACACACACACATAAAATAAAAATAATAAATAAAATATTTAAAATATTTAATTTTTATTTTATGTATATAAGTGTCTTGTCTGCATGTATGTAAGTGCACCTGTGTCATGCATTGCCCATGGAGGCCAGAAGAGGGTATCAGATCACCTGGAACTAGAGTTACCTACGGTTGTTAGCCCTCATGTGGGTGATGGGAACCAAACTCAGGTCCTCTAGAAGAGCAGCCAGTGCTTTTAACCACTGAGCCATCTCTCCAGCCCCCTGTACATTTTCTAGTATTGGAAAATGGGAACATACCATGACCACAGTATATGAAATCCCATGTAGCACATTTGAGAAGCAGCTATTCTAGAAAACAGATCAACTGTCAGTTCTTGACCTCTCTGAAACATTTGCATCTCTGCCTTTGCTCATATGGCATCCTTCATCCTTCTCCACTAAGAAGGATGAAAACTTGAGTTAACTGTTTCAAATGAGATACAAAGGACTAATCATTTAATGGCTCACAGCCTTGCAAGACCTATATAGTAGTATCTCAAGCAGATCAACTTGCAGAAGAGCTAGAGACAAAGCTGGGGCTGTTGTAAGCCCTGTCAGACCCAGAAAATATGGCTCTTGCTGTGTAGCTGGTTATCGGAAAAGTGGAGCACAGACATGAATGAGTATGAGTCATAATTTAGAATGTGAGGAGTTTGGATTAGTTATTCCAGTTATAGCAGTTATAGAGATGCTCCAAGGATAAGAGCACTGGCTGCTGTTGCAGAGGACTGGGGTTTGGTTCCCAGCACCCAAATGGTGGCTAAGAACTTTCCATAATTCCAGATCCAGGGGATCTGACACCTTCTTTTGGGCTCCATAGGCATTTCATGACATGGGAGCACCTACTTCCCTGCAGGGAAGACATTCATACAGATAAAATAAAAATAAAAAAAGAAAAAGAAAAACAAGGGATATGTTTTTAAAATATTATTTTTATTTTATGTGTATCTGTGTAGTGATTACATGTATTTAAGTGCACCCATGTCATACAATGTCCAAAGAAGTCAGAAGAGGCATTGGATTCCCTGGAACTGGAGTTGCTGAAGATTGTTACCTGTCATGTGGGTGCCAGGAATCAAACCCAGGTCCTCTGCAAGAGCAGAGGTGCTCTTAACTGTTAAGCCATCTCTCCAGCTCCAAAGGAATATTTTTATATTGACTGCCAGTGTAGTGATTTGATGCAATGGGATAAGCTAATGAGAAGAAAATAACAGTGCCAACTAATAATTCCTCAGGAACACATCAAACTTTATTTAGGAACAAGTTCCATTTTTAAAAAAGTGACTTTACCTCCAACCAAATCCAAGTTTTTCCCTTTTCTGACAGTTATACACCTGATATTGCCCCTCCCCTCATTCTTCAGTGCCACCAGGCAGTTCTAGAAGCTTTCCCTTGACAACCTGATTTAAATGAGAGATCTGCTTAAACTCCTGTGTGTCAGGCTATGGCTAAGTGATTTAGAGCAATGATGACATTTAATTCCTTCAGCCGTCAATGCAGGGATTATGACAGCCATCTTCCAGATGAGCAAACTAAGACTAAAGAGAAGTAACTGGCCCAAGGTCACAAGACAAAACTCAGCTTAAGACCTGATCGTGGCAACCACTGAACTCAGCATGCTGTAAGCCCAAGAGTAAGTGAGGAAACAGTTAGGGGAGGTTTCCACACCTTGTTTTAAATGCACTTTAATATGATATTGGAGGTCAAATATACAAATGAAGGGATCCTAGGAGGCCTCTTTGTCCCTCTAAGATGTTAGAATAGCAAAGATTCAGTAAAATGTAGTGGCTGAGATTACAGATTCAATGCTGTACAGTTTGGGCAGTTTTATCTCAGTAAAAGACACTTAAAAACACACACACATTTTTTCAGACAGGGCCCACAGTGGCAGAGAGGCTGCCTTTGAACTCCTATCTCAGCCTCCAAAGTACTGGACTTATCAGTGTGTGCCACCATGCTCAGTTAAAAGACTGCTTTTTAGGAAGCCAGGGAATTCAGCACACAGATTTAGTGTGATGGTTATTGTGGGCATTGGGGAATTGAGGTACAGGTGAGGCGAGACCATACAGGTAGATGTGCATAGGTTCCTATCACTTTTCTGGTCTTGGGATGGAGGGTGGTTTCACATATGTTCCTTACTAAACATGTTAAAAAAAAAAAAAAAAAAGCCCCTCTGCACTTCAAGTCCCCAGGAGAGGCAGGAAAGAAAAAGAAGCACAGCAAAGACAGCCCTGGTGTCAGAGACATCTGGATGCTAATCCCAGGTCTGCCATTAGGATTATGAGTTCCCTACAGCTGTTTATTTGTTAAATGAAAATTGTACTAGTTAAATCATATCAAGTTAGTGCTATCCAACCTTTTTTATTTTAAGTTATATTTTTAAATTATGTATTTGCATGCATCTGTATGTAGGTATGTGCACCTAAGTACAGGTGCCCACAGAGATCAGAAGAGGATCCCCTGGGTGCTGGAGTTTCAGGTGGATGTGAGATTCCTGAAATGGCTGCTGGGAACCCAACTCTGGTACCTTGCAAGAGCAGCAAGTGCTCTTGACTGCTGAACTGTCTATCCAACCCCTTTATTTTTATTTTTTTACTTTTTAAAGAGACAGTGTCTTATGTTGTCCAGGTTGGTCCCAGATGTGTGGGCTCAAGCAACCCTCCTGTCTCAGTCTTCTAAGTCGCTGGGGCTTCAGCCTTGTGCCACTGCATTTGACTTCATCCGTGACCTCCTATGATCTATGTCCAACCACCTGGGGTTGTTATGAAGATAAGAAGTTCCAGACCTAACCAAGAAGAACCCCAAAATACTGTTAGTTTTCTTTTCTCCTCTTATAATAACAAGTATTATTTTGACATTTATTCACACAAACCTACTCCTTTCTCTAAACACCTGTCTGATTCAAATCATTTGCTCATTAATGAGGAGTTGCAAACTGTTATTGTATCATTCTCGTTAAAGCTAGGTAACTGATTTAATATAAATCCATGCACACACATACCCATGTGTAATTGTACCCTTGTTCTTTCTTTAGCTGACTTCCCTGTTCCAGTCATAACTGAACTTGAAGATCCATTTCCTGACATTAAAAGGATAATGTGCTCAACCACTGGAGGTTTTCCCCAGCCTCGCCTCTCCTGGTGGGAAAATGGAACTGTATTAACTGACATCAATACAACAATTTCCCAGGATCCTGAAACCAAACTGTACAACGTGACCAGTGAAATGGATTTCAATGCAACGTACAACCACAGCATTGTGTGTCATGTTGAGTACGGAGATTCTGAAGTGTTAAAGAACTTCACCTGGGAAAAACGTAAGCAACATTATCTTGGAAAGTGTCTACTGTACGGAACTTAAAAAAATAACGCAGCCAGCTACATTTTAAAATTGAACTTATTGACTTTGATGGTAAATTTACAGTTATTTTAGACATACAAAATGTGCCATTATGACTTACTGAGGTCATGGAACAAGTGTAATGATAAAGTGACTATACTAATTTTATTTTAAATCAATATTCCAAATTTTACTCATCTAATAATTGCTAACCATCAGGTGGTCATTTTGCAAGTTATGGAACAATATTTTCTTTACTGAAAGCCCTAAAGCTTCTCTTTCCTTGCAATTTCCCTTGGGGTTTTGGCACCCCATCCCCAATAGTCCTGTAGTCGCAAATAATTGTCTTTTTTGAGTGAATTTTTTAAGGACTACTGGTTTGGGCTGGATGAGGGATGAGGGGGTTAGAGCACTTGCTCAGCATACACAAAGCCCTGATTTAATCTCCAGCACCACAAAGGCAACAAAACCTACTGTTTCATTCAGAGGCAAGTTTGTTATGTAATATTAATGATTTATTGTACTTGCTTTGATAAAGTTGAGTAATAACCCCCCCCCTTTTTCCCCATTTTTGAGACAGGATCTCCCTGTAGCCCCACCTGGACTGGAACTCGGTATGTAGACCAGGCTGGCCTCAAACTCAGATATCTGCCTGTCTCTGCCTCCCAAATGTTGGGACTAAAGATGTGGGCCACCACGCCCAGCCTGAGTGATAAAACTCTTTAAAGACAATGTCTGAGAATAAAAAGATGTAACCTTTGAGCCAATAATTTACCTTACAGGTAGCAAACGTAAAATTCTCTTTCTATAAGAGGTTACATCATCATAAAATGAAGACATACATGCATCTTAAACCAAGGGTTCGTTATCATAGGAAAACTCAGACACTTGAACTCTATGTCTGATTGGAATGGCCGAGTCTATAGAGGACCACTGGGGCTCTCCTCCAACCCCAACCCCACTGTCAACGATACGTTTTGTGTCTGAATAGTGAAGAGACAATGCATTATGACAGCAATGGTACGTACAATGCAGTGTGAGATGTGGTGTACCTGACGTCTTTCTCTTGTCTTACAATTGAGGAGGTATTGTAGGTGATCTACTAGTTCATTCTAGTGTGGGATTTATTCTAGATCTTTCAGACTTGAGATGAATTCTTTAGCTATTTTTTTCCATAGGTAGTAAGAAAGTTTCCTGGAAAAATTAGTTCCAGTATAAATCAAATTTTGGCATGGTTTTATTAGTACTCCAAACTCATCCTTTATGTATCATAATATTTTATAAAAATGAATTTTGGATCTTAAAGTGAAGATAGCAAATTGATTCAAAGTCCATTTTTACTTTATAAGTATATTCTTAACTAATTTTAGTTTATTGTAAAGATGAAGATTTACACAGAAACTGTTAAGTAATAGTAACTTGAATATATTTTTATTGGACATTGTTCCAGAATATGATTATTTGTGACATTCAGGGACAAAAGCTCGTGAAAGTTTTCTGGAAAGAGTGAGATAATATTTCAGACTTAACAGATCCCACAGACTTTGTTGCATCAACTGACTTCTACAGTTGCAGACGAAAAGAGGCTGTGAACAAGGCATCAGTGAATGAGTGGCAGTGTTCCAATAAAACTCTGTCTTTCTCATATATACATATGTATATGGTCTCACTATGTAGTCCAGCTTGACTTTGAACTCATAATCTTCCTACATTAATTTCCTAAGTTCTGGGATTAGAGACATGTGTTACCACATCTCATTTACATTTTTTCTTATTTTTTGAAAAGATTAATTTAAGAAATTCAAAATACAAAAGAAAGAAAAACTCGACCAAGAAACTAACTCCAGACACACAAGTCCCAGCACAGAAAGAAAAAAAACATAAAAGAACCAAGACAATATGACTCCTCCACAAATCACTAATCCCCAAATAACAATGCCTAATGAAAATGACTTAGAAGAACTACCAGATAAAGAATTCAAAATAATAGCCAAAATTGTATCTACAAAGAAGACATGAATATTCTCCAAAAGAAAAGAAACAAAGAGATGAATAAAATGAGGAAGTCAGTTCCAGACGTGAAAATAGACAAAATTGCTTATGACAACCCAAAATGAAATAATGCTGGAAATGAAAAACTCAGTAACCTCAGAGGAAAGCCTCACTGAGAGAATGGATCCTGTAGACAGCAGAGACTCCAGCATGGCAGAAAAGGAGGAGGAATTGGACCACTCAGTAAAGGTCAACAATAAGTTTAGAAAGAAATGTGGACAGACAGGAGAGCTCTGAGACATGATGAGAAGACCCAACCTTCAGATTATGGACAGAGAAGGAGAACACCTTAGTGAAGACATAGAGCATATTTTCAATAAAATCATAGATGAAAATCTCCCAAACCAAGAGGAAGAGACACACACCCATTATAAGAGGCCTACAGAACTCCAAATAGATAGAACCAGAAAAGAAACTCCCTAAGCATATTATAGGTAACACAGTAAAAAACAGAACAAAAAAAGCATATTAACCACCCCTTAGCATATACCCATAGGACTCTTCCTACTGTAGAAATACCTGTACATCCATATTTGTTGCTGCTCTTTTCACAATAGCTAAGAAATGGAAACAACCTAAATGTCCCTCAACTGAAGAATGGATAATGAAAATGTGGTACATTTATACAATGAAGTTCTGCTCAGCAGTTAGAAAAGATGAAATTTGCAGGTAAATGGATATAACTAGAGAATATTATACTAAGTGAAGTTACATAAACTCAGAAAAGCAAATGATGTATGTTCTCCCTCATTTGTGAATTGTAACACCAATCCCATATGTAGTATAAACCCTGATGTAACAGCAGGAACCAGGAAAGTGGAAAGGAAACACAGTGGTAAAGGGAAAGAAACAGCTGGAAAGAGGGATATTAGGGAACAGATATCACCAGGAGGAGGTGGGGGAAGTAGGAGTGTTTGGCTGGGAAAAGGGAGGGAGGGACATGCAGGGGACCATGGGATAGGGGAAGTGGGTGTTATTGGGGGGAGGGTGGGAATAATGGGGGTGCTTGGACCAGGGAGGGAGGAGGGAGTTTGGACCAGGAGAGAGAGGAGAGATGAATGGATCATGGGTAACATGGGAAAACAGAGGAAATTATGTTGGCTTGGGAATCCCCTGAGAAATACATAAACAGTGTCTGAACATTAGTGCAGGAGTATACCTGGGGGCTGTATGGCAAGGAGCATGGTGCTAGGCAGGAGAGACCTCCCTTTGAGTGCTTAGTCAGAGTAGTTAAAAAGACTCTCAAAATAACAGAGGCTATTTCCAGAGCCCTTGGTTATCTCCCAAAACTCAGAGGTAAGGCCCTCTTGTTGTTGAAGACAGGTCATAATTCGGACATAGGACTTGGAGCAATGGAGCAGGAACTCACCTAGAAACTCTGTCCCTGAAGAACAGCTCTCATAGGACCTCTTATAGGATACTATGCAAGCTGCTAACAGAGAAAGTCCATCAATGGTCCAACCCACTCTTCAAGCCAAATAAACATAACGACTAGCACAGCAAACTACCTCTGTTGGTGCAGTAGTGGCACTGTTATCTCGAGGGTAATCAACAGCTATCTAATTGGACTTAAAGCCCTCTCAATAGGAGTGAACTAATGGGTGGCACTGTAATAATAGCCAAATATACATGTCTGGAGAGGTCATAGATCCTAGAGAAAACCATATCTCTGCCATATCTCCAGACAAATGAAATTTCTCACCATATCTTAAATATGGATCCTTATATTCATAGACAAGCATACAGTTCAACACTTATCAAAGAAGCTTTTTGATTATAGCAGATGGAGGCTACTGCAGAGTTCCACTAGTCAGACACAGAGAATATAGGTCTGAGAGACACCCAGTACTAGGTGACATACCTACAGTGAAACCTCTACACCTAAGGCTCACAGAACATAGTGGAACAGGGGTAGGGAGAATACTAGTGCATCCCTCAACTCTCACCACTGAAGCTTACCTATACAACAGAGTGCAACGCCCAGAAGGACACAAATGGCTAAACTTTATGAGAATAAGAGACTGCAGAGTGTGTGTCCTTGGATAGGACTCCTATATTAAATCTCACCCATCCACGATTCAGGGACCATTGTGGAAGAGGGGGGTAGAAAGATTGTAAGAGCCAGGGTTGGCCCATGAACATAGGGAAGCAGAGGCTTTCAGGCCACTGGAAACTTGCACATGTGACTTTGTGACAATGGTGGCATCGAGCACAAGACCCATGCTAACTCAATCAGACAAGGGCCCAGAGTGGTGAGAGGGAAATGGGCAGTGGGCCAGCCCTAACCTAAGAATTGTTGGAGACTGGTTACTGCTAGGTGAGGGAGAGATCTTTAGATAGGCTGACTAGAGTCTGGTGAATGAACTACACTGAAGGACATCTGAGGGAAATGCTTAACATACATGACAAAATACATGAGACTTGATCGGGGGCCATAAATTGGGGGTCTTAATTTGATTAAGAACTGTTATGTGAAATTTACAAAAGCTCAATAAAATTTTTTTTTGTCATTTTGATTTTTTAAAAATTTCGGTGCTCCATATCCTGGCTTGTACCTGAGGCTGTCAGTCATTGAAATTGCACCTAAACTGATCTGTGTGAAGGACAATCTTATTTTCATTTTATTTTGTTTATTTTAATGATTATAGTTGTTAGGCATTTTACATATATGTTTTGTATGCTTTTTCACATATTCTTTGGTGAACTGTGTATTAAATTTTTGCCAATTAAAAAAAAAACACACACACACAAGAAAGGTTATTAAAAGCTCCAAGAGAAAGGTCAAATCACTTATAAAGGTAGCCCTATCAGAAAACATCTGATATTTGACAAAAATTTTAAAGGCGGAGGATCTGGAAAGATGCATTCCAAGTTCTGGAAGACAACAATTATCAACCCAAAATATACCCAGCAAACTGATCTGTTAAAGTTGAAGGAGAAAATAAAAACTTTCCACAATTCATTTCCTGGAGCCAGCAGCTTGCCTGGGTAAGTTTGGCTGCTGCGCCCACTGCGCCTTGACTCCCCCAGCCTCATACACCCTCCCAGCTCCCACACACCATCTCTCCTCCTAGCAGGGGGACTGGCAAATTTCCTGTCTTGGCACCCCAGGCCCCTGGACTGACCTCTTGGCCCAAACTCTCCACTGTTTCCTGATCCTTCATACCCAGATCAAACCATTTCCTCCCTCTAGTCCCCATCTCACTTTGCATCTGTGGGAGGCCCACAGCCCCACAGCTTCCTGGAGCTAGCAGCTTGCCTGGGTAAGTTTGGATGTGCCCACTGCACATTGGCTCCCCCAGCCTCATTCACCCTCTCAGGTCCCCTGCCCCAGCTCTCCTCCTAGCAGTGGCACTGGTCCATCTCTTGTTGTGACACCCCAGACCCATGGAATGACCTCTTAGCCCAGAATCCCCACTGTTTCCTGATCCTTTGCACCCAGACCAGTCCAATTCCTCCCTATAGTCCCCAGGAGCCCTTGGCCTCTTCTCATCTCCACCTCCTTTTGCATTGCTGGGGGCCAGCATCTTTCCTAGGCCCTGCTCCAAGGCCAGCCCAGCCCTCAAATTCCTGAGGCCAGTATCTTTCCTAGAGGGATCCTGACCTTAGGAGAAAGCCTGAGAGCATCTGATCCACATCCAACTTGGGCCTCTGTGGGAACTACCAAGCAGCAAGACGAAAGCAATTTGGCCACTTTAATATAAAATCAAAAGAGAGAACCTGAAGCTGAGACCAACCAGCTTTTCATGCCTAACAAATAAACCACAAAAAGAAGCAGACCTAAACTCAGAAAAGGAAGGCTTGAGTCTCACACAAGAACCAGAAACTACAAAAGAAATCCACGTTAAAGTCACAGAGAAAAAAATATAACATGAAAAATCAAAATAATATATCCCCACCAAGTACCATCAGTCCTCTAGAGGAGTACAATGAGAACCCCCTAGAGATAACACAGGACATGGAACACAAAAGAACAATTACAAACATGATAAAAGAATTCAATGAATTTAAAGAAAACACAAAGAAATCAAAGAACTGAAAGAAGATCGGTATTAACATCTGAATGAATTCAGAAAAGAGTTAGAAATATTGAAGAATGCTCAGGCTGAAATGAAGAAGGAAGTGAAACACTCAGTCAGACAATTAGGAATGACATGAGAAAGCCTCACCAATAGGATGAATGAAATGGAAAACAGAGTATCAAGACTGGAAGAGAAAGTGGATGAACTAGACCACTAAAGCAAAGATTATGAAAATTTTAAGAAATCACAAGAATGGAATATTCAGGAATTGTGTGACACCATAAGAAGACCAAACTTATGAATCATAGGCTTACAGGAAGGAGAAAAATCCCAAGATAATGGCATTGACCAGATCTTCAACAGAATCATGGAAGAAAATTTCCAAAAATTAATGAAAGACATGCCCATACAAATAGAAGAAGCATATAGAACACCAAACAGACATGACCAGAAAAGAAACTCTCCACGGCACATCATAGTAAAAACACTAAATGTACGAAACAAAGAGACAATACTGAAAGCTGCAAAAGAGAAACAACAAGTCACATATAAAGGAAAACCCATTAAGATTACAGCT